TTTCAAGGTCTAAATGGAAAATGTTTTTATATTGATTTTGTTTTAAGTATGCTGACATAGATTTATATTGTCTTCCAAAGGCAAAATGACATGCAATGCATCTTGATCAGTTACAGAACAATAATTATGTGTATAGGTGCACTATTGTCTATAATTAAATCTCGGTTACATAAAATTTACCAAGATAGTTATGTTATACTGTGTAGTAGGGTCACATGTGGAATAAAAAAAAATGTTATGTGACATACGAAGTCAGCAATGAAATTGCTTTTTATCTTAGATTATCTGAATAAAAATTTAATTAAGAAAGTTTAGTTTTAAGAAGTAATGACTATTAGTAAAATGCAATGTGACATTTTGTTTTGTGTGCAGTTATATATATATATATATATATATATATATTATATATATATATATATTATAATATTATATATATATATATTATATTATATATATATATATGATTAAAAATTATTCATTTGTGCAGTACAGGCCCTATGTGTACAGATGTGTATTGTCATGTTATTACATTCTAAGCAAAAGTTATGGTATTAGATTCCATTTTGAACATTGCATGTCATTAGTTATTGCAAAAATTAAAATGTATATGAACATCAACCACATTAATAAAAAATCAGTTGCAGAATTGTGATTTAAGTTTTCCAAATAATTAGAATATAGAACTTCATTTTGTTCCATATGCATTGTTCTCTTAATGATGCAGGTAATTTGTAATTGCCTTTCTTGAATAGTATCAGTTGATAGTCTACTAGAAAAACAGATATATGATATTTGTTTGAAATTTTTCTTGAGCATTCTAAGTTAATTTTAATTATTTAAATGAAGTAGCTTGTTGCATGTTTACTGTTCCTCCTTTTTATGTAATACCTTGCCATATCTTTTACTCTTTGCCCTTGCCCTTTATATCATGTAATACTAGTCAAAGTATAACTGGGAAGCACATTTATTGTATATAGCACTTGATGTAGTTTATCATTCAAGAAAATTGTCAACTATGCCAATGTATCAATGCTAAAACAAATAGTGGATACTCAAAGGTATTTATTTTTAGCGTTTGAATCATGTTTATCAGGTATAAAATGATTGCACATTTTTTATTGAAATGTGTTATGCATATTTACATAATTTGCTGTATGTTGTATGCATTAAATTCCATGCATTACTATTATTTTGACTTTCTAAGTGATTTCTTGTATTCCCTTCTTGTCATGTTGCATCATATTATTAAAATAGCATTTTGTTATCTAATGAAAGATTGGGAGGAGTAAAACATTTTTAATTTTCATCTTTATTTTGTTTATTTTTTTATTTTGCATTAATCATGGCATTCATTATTTATTTTGCATAATAGATTGTAGGTATGTAAAGGAGGCATGATATTAATTGAAATAGCAAATTACTACAATTATAGTGGAAGTCAGAATTCAACAATACATACTGTTTATTGGGAAATGCATATTTTTCCTTACAAGGTTATATCTTGCAATAGTCGAGTATTTCTGACATGCTGTTACTATAACAATAGGTTGTAAAGAAATATTTTTATATCAACAAGTATTGTGAATTAAGTCTTTGAAGATCCAATTAGATATTATGTTCAGTTGCAAGAATTTCATAATGGCAGTGCTTTCATTGCTTTTCATGTAAACAGAACAAAATAATATTCATTCACTATTTTCAATTCTTTAATTTTTCTTGTTATCTCAGTTTTTATTTCATACCAGTTTTACTGTGTGTACCAAAAGAAAGAATAAAATTCAAAATTCTGAGCTGCTTGTCACAACTGAAACTTTTACATGTAGTCTTAATTTATGTTCCAATTTTTACCTTTTGTTCAAAAGTTTTTACTAATGAAATATGCGATATAAGTTGTGGCGACATCTAATTTAACTATGGAATTCCTGTCATTTCTGCATTCCGTATTAAGAAAAACATTAATCATATCAATGGATTCAACTATAAAAACAAAATTATTCAAAGAAGACTTTTAGGATTCAATTATTTAATTAAAATTAGTAAGTTTTGAAGTCAAAGGACTGTTTGTAAATTCATAAATGACATCACTAGCCAAACATGTCAATGGCTATTGGTTATATTAAGCCATTGACTTGCCTTAATATTGTAATAATATTTACAATCATAGCAGTAATTATGATATTTTAACAAGACTAGAAAGAAAAACAAATTTTGATGTCAAGAGTAGTTTGTCAGAGTGAATTGTGAAGAAAATGACAAACCACATTGCAGGTATTGTTCTGCATGTGAAACTGCTAGTTTTAGCATGCTTTTTGTTTGTTTTATATCTTTTTTATTGCAAGTTATGGAAATGAATATAGACAGCATTTCAGATTTTCATTTCTTGCTTTGCAAATTTTCTTTTCTAATAATTGCTTCTTGCTAATACATGAACATGTTATGTTAATGAAATGATACATTAAAAAAAGCTTCAAAATCATTCTTTCAAGAAGTTAACAATTTTGAATGTTAAGATATATTATTCCCTAGAGACATTTGAACTCGTTTGATGATGTCTGTTGCTTATACATTTGTTAGTATGTACTTCAGTGAATTAGTTTTGCTTTGCCAAGTTCTTGCTGAGTTATTTCCCAATATTTCAATCTTTGAAGTGAAATTAAAAATCAAGGAGCCCATGTGTTATTCCTAAACGTCAACTGAGGATGTCATGTCGAAATATGACTAATAATCAATGGCCATAGAGAAAGAGGTTGATGTGACAATAATATAGATGATGTGAGTTACTTAATGACACAGTTAATTGTCTGATTTTTGTTTCTCTTCTGCCTTTGATCATAAATACTGACTTCATTTAATTTATTTACAATTTTTTTTTATTATTACTATTATTGGGGGGGGGGTGGGGGGTCAGTAATTACACATTGTCGCTTTGAAAATAGTATGTTGTTTTTCCAATACATTCTGCCTCTATGTATAATTTTACTTGTAGTCCCACTATTTTGTGAATATTAGATATGTTAGAATTACTGATATAATTTGCTGAATTCTTATATACAAGGCTTGCACTTGATTGTAAATAATTGTAGTAAATATGGGTCTGACTATAGACTTAAATTCATAATTCATTCTGGGTTGATCGTGCAGTAGTCTTTTAAGTAAATTTTGAAATGGTTGTTTGATGAGAGAAATGTATGTATTACCTTGTATTCCTATTTGTGGTGCTAGCTCACTGGAGTGTTGTCTTTTGATTATTACTCAACCACTTTTTAAGTGATGTCTTTTTTGATTGCATTTCACATAGCGACTCAAGTAGTAAATTGTTCTTCAGTGTTTTGACTGTCGGGTATTGCTTTAATAATGTATAAATGCATCCATAGATTTATATTTTTATTCAATACAAATTCATTTTCTGCATTGCCTGAATTATATTTTTTCTTCTTTGTGTTACTATTTTTGTGATAAATTTGATTTTATTCCATCGTTCTGTAATGACTTATCTGCACCATTTCATCGTGTGCTCTTGCTTTGTAACGTTTGATGATTTATACCTATTATGTGATTTTTCTATTGTTCTTTATTTGCTAATAAAGACATATCATATAAAATTATTGAACATCTTGGGTTCTTGGGCACTTTGTTGAAACGTTCATTTAAATTAAATAAAGTTTTATTTTATGTAAAGAAAATACAATTTAAGAAAAATTGAGTTTGTTTTTATATCGCATTAATCTATTTATTTTTGTGCCCATGACATTAAATGTGTTGAAAAATTTCCAAACGTGATGGTGATCTCATTTTATGCCTTGTTTTCTCATAATTTTCGGTCTACATAAGTAGTTATTACAAGATGACTTAATGGTCATTGTCATAACCACCGTCATGGTTTGAACCAGGTACATCACAATATTCTCACAACTTGTAAAATTGATTTTAGGGTGCTGTTTATTCAGTGTTTCTGTGATTTTAGTGATCTTAGTTACATGCAAGTCAACAAGCTACTGAGATGTTATTATTAGTTTTGGTGTGACACTTCTATCTTTCTGGGTAGTAGGGATATATTTTTTGCCTTTACGTGTTTCAGTAAATGGCAAGTTGCGGATACGGTGGTGCGAAGCCTGCTTGTAGTTACGAGCAGGGTTCTAGAAGATCAATTTGCACTTGGAATCATATAGAAGGGCTTAAAAGCTCAAGGTGTGTGTATGTATAGAGGCAGGCATATGTATGGCTCTGCATGTTTGTATGTGCATATATATATGTACATACATACATATGTGTGTATGAGTGTTTGTGTGTGTATGGATTCACGAATGAATGGGTGAACATATGTATGCACATAGTTGTAGCAATGATGTTGAATGACTAAACTGATCAACAAAAATATCTGCAAGTATTATTCAAGTACTACTCTTTCAAGATGGACTCTAATTTACATTGTATAGTTTAATAGTTATAATTTAGTATTCCATTGTTTGAAATCACAAATAAAACATTCTGGACATTTTATAATTATTTATGCTTATAATGTACTTCTGTTCTTAATTGATCTCAATCTTTTTGTGTATTTGTATAATGTGCCAAATAATTCCAGTTTGAGGATTAAATATACAATTACCTTTTTGAGTTGTTGGTTTACTGTCTATTGTAAAGTAATTTAAATGTTGGGGTGGCCTCTTGAGAGTGTTTCTAGAGCAAAACATTAAGGGTGCCTATGTTATTTTTTATAGATTTGAAATCATGACATCTGTGTATTGTAATTTTTGGATATGTTTGGATAGAAGTTATTAAGAATGGGTAGTAATTGAAAACTAAAGATGCTATAGTTTTGTGTTTCTAATTCTTGCTGTTTTTGGACATAAACTTTCTGAGTTTGAACTTCAAAGTTGTGGGGCAGTCAAGTTTTTATCGTGCCCAAAATTGTTTCAATATACTCAATGACCCCATAAATGTCTTCCAAGTTATTTTCAAATTTAAAGTTTGCATTGTTAAATTTGTTTCTTTCTTAGTATAATGTATTGGATGCCTATGAATCTCCAGAAAAGGTATGAGTAAGATACTGTAGTTCTGATTTGTGAACTGTTCAGTACTTGTGAAGTAATTCTCTTTGAGTTGGATGCAGCTTATAAGTAATTGTTATGTGACAGAAGTTCGTAGAAGTACTTTTGTGAATTAGGTGAACGTGATCTCACTAAGAGTTTTGAGGTGTTGAGAAGAATTTATGCTTTCGTATATGCCAGCTACAAGTAGATTCACAGGTGGTGCCTGACCATTTGTTCAAGTTATTCATGTATTATGTTTTGACGTAGAATAAGCTCTTGAGAGAAGGAACCCCAAGATTAACTCGTGTCTTGTACATACTCATTGTTTTATATACAAATATTTTGATAGTAATAACAATTGGTTTTTTATTCTTATTTATTTACTAGGTGTGTATAATGCATAATTCTACTGTTGTATAGCATGCCCAATATATGTTGTAAGATTATTTTAATTTATGACTTCAGCTTTTAATTTTTGTGAAAATTTAATCTGTCATGGTTAATTTTGTGTATGAATTTTTAAAAAATTACAAAAATTAATGGTTTGTGATGGTGTAATTTTACCTCAGTTACAGTCATTGAAACTGTGATACACTGAAATTTTGTGAGGTAATTTAATATGTACCTCATAGAATGAATATACTCTGCTCTTAGTCAACTGTATAACATAGTTGGAGGGAACAAAACCTTTAATATGACTGTGTGATCATGTACAGAACTATTAAAGAGAGAATGTGCTTATAGGCAAGTGTGAGTGTACATACTGTGCTGTTTTCACATTGATTCTGTTACTTCTGTAATAGAATATGATTTGGTTATGAGCATTCCCTTATGTATAAAATGTGAATAATAAACCATAGTGTCTCTTCATAATGCAGATGTGAGTATTTTTGCATGTTATGATCATCAATTAAACGTGTCCCATTTTGTATCAATTTCTGTGCTTGGAAAGTTCTGTACAAATAGGTTTTAGCCATTTAAGGCATAGATAAAAGCAATATGTTGTCTTTATCTTTCCTTTGCATAACATGTTGCATAATTATTTTTGCATAACATGTTGCATAATTATTTTTGCATGATGTTTGGATTAGTTCTCGTGTAGTTCACAAACCTTTTGTTATCATATAACACCCATGTATATTACATGTATTTTGATATATATGCTATGAATTTATTTAAAAAACAATGCGTAGAAAGACTTCCTCTTTTTCAATGTAAGGTTTCTGGTGGGGAACAATGACTCAGCAATTTGTAGAACAGTTGGAAGTTTGAGATACAAGGGTTTGACTGACTACCATGTGTTGCCAACATTTTGATGCAGGTGTGAAAATTTTTCAGATTAGGGTTTTGAGAAAGCCAATACTACAGTTAATGGTCAGGGTGCAGGGACCTCTCTGATTGTCCCCATTACCCATCTTCATTCAGTACTTTTGTTGCTGCTGTGCCTCTTCCACATTCCCCTCAAATTCTTCATGTCCATTTGCATTACAGGTAGGTTGCTACTGAGTTACAATTATAAAACAAGTTAGCACATTTAACATTGGGGAGTGTTGATATGGATATCATCATCCTTTTTAAATAGAAGTTATTTAAAACACAATGCAATTGGTGTACAAATGTGTATGTAACAATAATGCTTTACTACCTTAAATATTTTCAGTCTTTGTTATACAATAATTCATGATGATTGTGCTTTGTTTTCTTTATGAAACCGTGAAAACTAAAGATGAAACAAATAGTCATAATTAGCAATATAAGAATTAGTAAATGAGCATAGAAAAATTGTTTTGATTTCAAGAGAAAAATAATTATTTTTTGCATAATCTTCATTGTGTTATGGATATATTTGCGTTCATTGTGTTTGTGAATAATCTCTTTTTCTGTTCGACTTATCATCTGGGGGAAACCTCTATTTAAATTGTGCAAAAATTGATCATACCGTGCACCTTATATTTGTTTATTTTTACAAGCAGCATGTACAATTAACAATAGATATTCCATTCACAAGTTTAGGTTAATCAAACAAAAAAGGTTGTATGTTGAGGTTAATAAAAAAAAAGTTGTATGTTGTAAATAATTATGAATTATTTGTTATTTCACAAAGCGGCTGTGATAAAATTTGTAATTATAATATAAATTGAATAATTTCAGATTTGTTATTTATCAATTTAATTTTTATATAATTTATTATTGTAATTATGTTGTTATAAACTGAATTCAGGACCATAGAGGGCAAGTCAATATTTTTTAAAATTGTATTTCTATAGTTCATGGGTGCTCAACACTTTATAACTTCAGAGACAGAGCAATTAAATTAATAATCAATAGCCAAACAAGCATGGTGCTGAGTAAAATCCTGCACAAACAAAGTTCAGTTTAGTGTTGTTTTTGTTGTTGTTGTAACAGTGAACAATTTTTCTAAATTTTACTCCGTCAAATTCAACCTCTTGTCAGAAATGAATGTTTTTGTAATTGAAGCAGAAAATTCTTTCTGCATCGCAAGACATAAATAGAGCATACTTAAAAGATGAAATCTTTTTCAAATATGCTAGATAGAGGTCTAAATATGCAGTATTAATTGAATAAAAATTGTCCAAACTTGCATTATACTTGAATTTTTCCAAAAACCTATCAAAACATTGCAAACATACATGGAAAAAGAAAGCATTTTTGAAATGTGGTAGCCAAGAAAGATGTATTTATTAAGTTTGGAAACTTTATGAAGGTTAAATAAGTACAGGTGTTTGCTTGGAAATCCTGTCTTTATTAATGTGTTGAGCTCGGTAAAAACGGGATTCTGGCCCTGCAAATAAATGTCTATATTCAATTTAGACTGAAATTTCCAAATTTTATAGTTTATTTTTTACCATTATCTTAAGTGCTTGAAACACTGTAGTGCAAAATCAAATTTGTAAATTCAGCACTTCCCAAAGTTAATTGTAAATTACTACAATTATTGAAGAAATTTAAACAAGCAATTCGAAAATTAACTACATTATCTAGTAAAGATATTAAAACTATAATAATAATAATAAAAACAAAATGCATCAAGATACACCTTAGAACTATTGCCCTTTTGAGGGCCAATGATTCAATTTCATTGGTGCAAAATTAATATTTTTACTTTTTTTTTGTCTTCAGGATAGGTGGGCACTGAAATACGTACGTATGACGTTCTTCTTGTGATAAAATAAGAAGCAAATTAACAATATGGATTAGATGTTTGTAAATTACTTGGTCATGACTAGACCTCTGAATTTCAGGCACAAAAAATAATTTAGGTACCTAAAATATGTAACAAAAATTATTAACAATTAGGCAAGAATGGTGACGTTTTAAGCACAAGATAAGTTAATGCGGGGGAAACAGCGATTTTTTGTCGAGTAGATAAATCTGATGTGTGTGTCTCTCCCCCCTTCTCTCGCGTTCGCTCACACACATTCACTGGTGTTTATGGAAATTGCAACACCAACGGCTGGTTTCACCAAACAAAAAGTAAGAATTTACTGTGGAGTAAATCATGTTTACTCGAGAGTAACGTCTTAAAGCGTTTCACCAACACTTCACTCGAGTGTAAATCGCGTACACGAGAGTAACTTTACACTACGAAAATCCGTCGGGTAAAGTACGGAGTAAGCTCAGTTTTCAACTCGCATGTACCCCCGAAGTGCTGTTATGACTCGACGATTACGAATGATTGTATTTGAAGACTATTCAAGCAATGATTCAGAATTTTATCCACTAGTGCGAAGACACGGTACGGGAGAGAATGGATTGGTTTTAATTTTGTCGATCGAGATTTTGTCACGAGGTTATGTTTGACCAAATCAGCCGTTAACTTTGAGATACATTGTAAACTGTAGAGAACTTGTAAATATATTTTTCACCCATTTCATTTTATTTTTTACGAAAAAAAGGTAGTACGTGCCGTATACGATAACAAAAGCAAAAATAATAACTACAGGGACTACAAGTTCTAACAAATATTTATTTAGTACTAACTATGTGACTTATAGGGGAGATTATTTGGGCACGTTTTCTTGAGTTCCAGAATCCCTTTCCATCATTTTAACTACAAATAGTTGAAAGGTGAATAAAAGAGTAAAAAATAAAACAAACAATAAATAATAATAATAATAAAATTTAGAAAAACGCGAGATTAGCAACATTTGAAAACTTAACATTTTTTGTTCCCGAGTTATAGAAAATTTGTTTGCACCGTCATCGGTAAACGAACTGCAAAATTTGATTTTTCTGCATTGCTAACAAAGTAACTCAGAGAAGAAGAATGAATATTTATTAATAAATAAAGATACAAAAACTAAGAAATTAACTATGCTAACTTAAATCAAAACATCACGCCAAGAACTCCAAAACTGAAATGAATGATAGAATATAAGGAATTAATGAAAGGTTCACGTAGGTCCGCAGTGGTTCTCAGTGTCATTCTTGCTCACAAATATTGCGCGTTCAGCTGATTCGCGGAGTAAATCGGAGAGTATGTACTCTGTAGTAAAATAACCCTCTAAAAGCATGGTGAAACGCTAATATACTACTCGAGAGTTACTATCTTACAATAAATGCTTACTCTCGGGTAACTATTCTCAACTTTACTCGGCTGTTGGTGAAACCGGCAGCAGGAGACATACTATTACAAGGACATTTATTTCACGGATTAGGAGTATCCCAGTATACCAATGCATTACAGAACTGTATCTGCATTTTCACATGGAGTATTTAGTAAGGTGTGAAGCCGCCACGCGCTGCATCTGAGCTTCTAGACGTCGTAGCGTGACTTCAAAGAGAGCATGGGTATGCTGCTGGGGAAAACAAAGCCTTACGGTTTCTACGCATGACCACAATCCATCGACAGTGGCTGCAGGAAGACCAGAAAGAAGTTGCCAACCGATCATATTGTGACGTCATGGATGGTAACACAGACACGAGCTTTCCTATTAGCAAATATTTATTTACAAAGAATTTACACTTTACACCCTACCTCTGATACCCGTCTTCCTCTGATCGCGGGAGCGATCCCAACCCGATTGATGATCGGTTTCAATTGTGGCACTCGCCACTACTACTTCTGAAGCGCGCACAAAGCGAAGCTTCCGTGACCGGATGTCACACTAGGACACTAAGTCCGTACCGGCGTACCAACTGATGGTTTGCGTTGATCGCAGGAGCGAGCTTACCCGATTGAGAATCGGTGCGAGTCGTGACTCAACCACTCCTCACCTCGGAGCACGCACACAGCATCGCTCCCACGTGACGGCAGTCACCCAAAGACACAAAGTGCTCACAGGCTCGTCACACGTGACTTGCCTCGCGGGCACTGCTCGCCGCTGCACTGTCGTGGCGCCACGTTTGTACAACTGCACGAGGTTCTCTCACTGTCTCCAGAATCCCTCCCCCCCCCACTGGCTCTGTGCACTCCCTTATATACCCGAGGCTCACGTGATCTTCTACGTCACGCCGCCTCCGCACTTCTGCTTGCCTTGAGGTTTGGGTCTTCGTTCCCTAAGACCGGAGGACTCCAAAGCCTCGTGTCTCACTTTGCCACGTGCTTGCTTTTAGGAAAAACCATTCCCTTCCTCCTGTGACGAGGCGGTTTCCTGTTGCTAATCCCTTACCACGCGGCCCCAAATAGCTGCCACGAGGTTCGCTCGCTAGTACGTTACAATATCCCAGGCATGTTCGATAGACGACATGTTAGGAGAACGTGAAGCCAGGGAATAAGTGGTATCCTTCCTTCTAAGCAGAAAGCTTGCACATTCCTCGCTACACGCGGTCAGGCGTTGTCCTGCTCAAATATGACATATGGAGCTGCTTGCAGGAGGGGTTGTACCTCGACCTGCAAACACACATCACTGTTGTAGCAGCGCGCCCCGTTCGAGCGCAATGTCACTGTACGAAAAAAAGCGCTTCTCGGAGACCGATCATTTTGCCCCGTTCGAATTCACTTAGATGCTGATTTTGCGTCTTTTGGCGTCGATGGGGGTTTCCGGTACTTGCTTGCACGTTTCTTCGTCGTTTGACGGCTCTACACCGACTGAGTGGCATAACATTGACCTGACCTGTCACAAAAGACGCTGCTAGGCCAACATGTACGTTATCGCTATGTAAATTTAATCACTTCTTATGGATACACTTTTCTACACATCCACAGATTTTTAAGTGATTCCGACCATACCTTCTTGGTGTTACAATTTTCACAAAAAACAGTAAACACAGTATATGCATAAAATGTATAAACCGGAACCTGTACAAGCCGGAAACCTGTCTTATTTGAGAATTTTCTGTGGCCTGTGAAGTTAGATAACATTTTACCCAGCATAAAACGGAACCTTGGAAACGGAATGTTTTGTCACGTCCTGCAGGGAAAAAATTTAAAATGGAATTCCTGTCAATTTGATGCAATTAGCACAGAGAAGCGAGATATGCTTAATGAAATGAATGCATCTGCAAGCTTGTTTAAAATTTTCTATCCTTATGACACGGGATTTAGTCGTGGCAGCCGGATATTGAAAGAGAGTGGTTTCAGCTGTCAGCGTAGAATTCTACCTTGGGATCACCTGTCTCTCAAGGTGTAGGCTGTAAGGTATTCCCTCTCTCCCGACTGAGCGTGGCAAGGAGTACGGACATGGCTTCTATTCGCGTGTCTCCCTCCCCCTTTGAAAATAATGTCTCAGTAACATACGCATCGCTCAAGGCTATAGTAACAGAATGTCGGTAGGCGACGGTAACAGAATGTCATAGTATTGGGGTATGATGCATTGCGCGTGAAAATATTCAGAAAACTGTCCAAATACAGTAAGATGTGTATTTTTCAAACTCGGAAGCTGTCAATAAGTGTGTATATTAAGTTATTGGTGATTTCTTCCATTAATATATGTTATTGTATTTTGATAGTTATAATAAAGTGATGCAATTTACTACTCTCAGAAACGTCAATGTCACAAGCGTCATAAAATGGTCAAACTTGCATAAAAGGAAATCTACCTAAAGCGGAATATATATATATATATATATATATATATATATATATATATATATATATATATTACTATGCATGAGGGGTCCAATCTTTAAAAAAATTGAGAATCTCTAGTAGATAAGAATAATTTCACAGAACATTCACACTTGAATAGAGAATTGGGAGCTGCAGATATGCTTAACGATTTAATTTTAATATGAGTTAATTCGGTTTCTTACTATGAAAATGTAGAAGTCCTGGTGGATCGAATGAGTGGAAGTTTTAATGCAGTCCAAATGCAGTTGTGTGTGACGACTGTTGCGATTACAGAATTGCTATACCATCACTGCCTTGTAATCCAGTGTGTATATTGTCTCTTCGAATCAAGTGGTAAACGCGAAGAATGCTCTACGTTCGTCATTGAAGAGAATAATTGCGATTCAAAGGTTATAGAAGGTAAATGTGAACGAGATAATCTGTAGGTACAGATATTCAATAAAACATGAAAATCGCTTGTGAGAAACCGGATGATCGAATGTATAAGTGAACTGGAGAGGTCAAACTAAGTAGAGCTTAGAGTTTGGAACTTAAACCATGATGGACAATTTCATATGGCTTAGGGATGCGATATCAATGTGGATATTAGTAACATCGATGATTTAATTTTGGGCATCAATGCTTTCTTGGCGATGTCACATCCTTTGTGTCAATCTCCGTTACTATGATTATCAATTTACTCTGAGTTGAGTACATACTATTACTATATACCAGACAAATTTTGTTAGTACTATATTTATTGCATTGACCACACATCACAGAAAACCCTGGATCATTTAAAAGCTTTAACAATAAAACGTCTTTCTTTCTTCTCCACTTCATGATATTTGTTTAAAAGGCATCTACTGACGACTAAATATCATCTTCGAGTGCGCATCTTTCACAGTAGTGGCGTCCTTCGCAGTAGTGGCATCACAACGATTGTTCCTATTTCCTATTCAGTTCCATCTGGAGATCAGCGTTCTGGGCCTGCTACGGGACAAACCAGGGCGGAAATGCATAGGTGACGCACTCTCTTGGTTGCGCTGTAATTACCAAGGAGATCACAAACTAACAAGGATAACGAAAATGTTATTCACGAGTGTGTCAGACGGTCTGCCATATGATCGTGAGATACACATAGTTCATTCTCAGTTGTCATTTTAAGTAAAGAAATTATATTGAAAGTAAATCATTTAAACAGCTTGGTTTTATTGAACACTTTAAAATTCTGCCTTTCGCTAAGATGGGACTGTCTGAATCTGAACTCCTTTCTCACCTTCACATCGTCGCGCAACGCTTCACCTGTGAATTTTCGCCACGGGAGACACATACGCGAGAAGCGGGAAGGCGAGTCACGTGGGCGGAGCGGGATGCCATCTGCCGTCTCGCGGCCCGCAGCGGCGCGGCCTCCACTGGGCCATGAGCTTCGTTGCACACTTCTAACCACCCAGGAAGTTAAATTAATCTACCCTTCCTACGCCTATGGTTCCGTGGTCGCGGAGGATTCCTTTTGCGAGTTCAGTCGAGTGCTGCAGCGCGGCGAATGAATCGCCCGACATCGATCTCAACTCTTGGATGAGACTTCATAGTTAGAGGTCACTACTGCATCATTTCGCGACAGTAGTGTACGGAAACATGAAAAACATGGCCTTTATCGTTTGTGTTCTGCGAAGGAAGATACAACGAGTCCGCAGGAACACAATATGGCATTTGTTTTAAAGTACAAGATTTTCACAAAATAGTAACATGCTAAGGTTTCTAAAATTGCTAAGAAACTTGGTTAATTTTTCTCCAACAACGCATAGTATTCCGATCATCAGATAATTCGAATGTTAATGTTTCCTCCATCTGCAATTTATGATCATTCAATTTTTAAAACCGAATTAATTACGGCTTTCGTCATTCTTAGCACACTTTTCTAGAAAAAATCTTTCGAGCTAGGGTTGTAGAAATTATAATAAACATTTTGACCCAAAATATATCGAGCTCGATATATCGAGCTTCATTTACGTATTGCCGTGCAAATGGCTAATTACCAGACTAATGTAATTAATTATCGAAGTGAGATTTTTAAGGCTTCTCGTCAACGATGACGTCTCATCCTATGCCGATGATTTTTTATTACTTGTAGGTGGTGTCGAGCAGCTAGAACTATAGTCATATTAAAACAACTTCCGTCCTCACAGTTTGGCGTAGAAGCTGTGAAAAGGGTAGTTTCGTGGCATTTCTATTATTATCGAACCTTTCACATATCAAGACAATGTTGCTCGCCCCCACAATTACGTCCTTCGACACAAAGTACTTTAATAAACATGAAACTGAACCACGACTCCTCGTGTAAATTGTAGCGAAGACGCAACATAAAATTAACAACATTCCTCGATAAGAAGCAGTGATAGCAATTGAACGATACTTGTTTCTGCAGAAACAAAACTATCACGCTAGTACGAACCAAGAGTGGATAACGAAAACATCGCGCATCTTCGGCGTATACGTGAGAACGGAAGTAATTTTAATACGACTATAGAACAGATTTCTAGGAAGAAGCGGCCGTTTTACTGTAGCCCCCGCTGATGGAGATGGCCGCGGGGGTGGGCGCGACGGCGACGGCGGGGGCAGGGTGGCGGCTCTCCGCCGCCTCCGATCCTTCGGCGGAGACGTCGAGCGAACCGCGATGTCGCAGCTCCATGATGTGCGGTGACGTGGCCGAGATGTTGTCGATGTCTTGGCTGTTGGCGTTGGCTTCTGCCACGTCGACGAACGCGGCACTAAGCTTGCCGCTGAGCTTGCTCACGCGCTGGGAGCCCGCGTCGTACATGAAGATCTCTTTGCCGACTGAGGCCGTGCCCCTGGAAGCAACAAAGCCGCGATGTTATTTCCTTTTGTTTGAATATGTGAATGTAAAACGGTAGGATTAATGAAGAACATGATAACACTTCTCCCCGCAACACATCACACACAGTTTTTATCTTTTTTTGATGTAAAACAAAATAAAAATAAACATCTCATATGGTCATCAGAAATGACACAAGAGCGACATTTTCCAGAATCCAGCATGAAAGCAATGCCTTTAGCTGATACATTTCATTCACATCACAACACCAAAATCGGTACAAAATGATAATATTCTTTTGGATTTTCCCTGCAAAATGCATAAGTATAACTACCACAACATTCGGTTATTCAATCTACTTATCGACATTAGTGTAATAAACAGCTGGAGCTACACAATTTCAGGGCCCGGATAAAACTAAAATTCATAATACAATACTACCCTTGACGATCGAAAGTTTCCCTCCAAAACTTCATAACTTTCCCTCTACCATGGGTTTTCCTTTCGCTGAGTGCAGTGGTGTTAACTGCTGGTTTTTACGACTTCCTTAAATTGTACCAGCCATTTCGAATAAATTCCATCACTCTATGAATAAACATAATCAGGCGGTAATCCCAATCACACATTATTAATCTTGAAAGTATCTTGTTTCCATTAAAATTATTAATGATATTTCTTTATTCATGGACGTGCTCGTGAACTTCCGAGTGAATGCAATGCTTTTCTTGATAGCGTGTAATTTTTAAGAAACACACTCACAGAAGGTATTATTAGAAGCATTTTCATGGATAAATTTGAGTGTTAATTTTTGATAACTTTCCAATTTTTGATAACTTTGATAACTTTCTTGGCTGTCCGGGTGAGGCCGCGTCGTTGGCTGAGAGGCCAACGACGCGGCGTGATCCGGACAGCCAAGACGTCATGAATTCGAGCCGCGGAAGCTTACGAGTATGTTTATCTTCATTCTACGTAAATACTGAATATGAATATCTCTGGTGGTTTATAATATTGGGGTAAACATTCCTCTGCCCTACCGTTTATATTCCCATCTGAACTTGTCTATGATTATTTCTTGCACTTAGACGATTCATCGATATTTTTTAAAGAAAAATCTGCGATTGTGCGCTTTAAAAAGTGTTTGTGCGAGCCTTTTAAAAATTTAGAGGGCTTACTTTGTAGGGTTCATAATCAACATGTTTGAGAATGAATTGAAAATGGCTGTTAAAATTTCGATTTTTGATGATTGTATATTTATTGAACGTCTATTGATAGTTGGGAATGTAACCTACTACCAGATTACATAATTTTAAATTTCTATGTAATCTGGTAATGTAATATGTAATCTGATACATCGATTGGTTGTGATACATATTTGCTTCCTACCACAACCTCCGGATATGTGTTGAAAAGCAATAGAAACAAATTTGCCAAATATATTTCTGGCAAATTTCAATTTGGCTTCGTGATGGAGGCAGATCACATTGACTTTCATAACACCGAAAAGGGTTTTCATTGGTATTACCACGAGTGCATGGGAAATATCCGACAAATTTCCGAAAATTCATTGGAAATTTCCAATTTGAGTAGTATTAATTAGACAAGTCCACTAATGAAATTATTTCCAACAGAATTTCAAATATTATTTATATTATTGAAACTCACTTTCAGTGCACGTCATCTCCTATAACTTGCAGTTAACGGTTGGCCAATTGAGAGAAGATGTAAGAGAAAATAGGATAGAATATGCGATAACTTTTTTGAGAAATACCACCCCGATTGACACATACTAGATGAGCTGTTGAACGCCATTAATGCTGATTTCATGAGTAACGTAGAAATAATCGGAAATAATAAGAAAGCAATAGAAGGCGAAAAATGTCTGAAGGAGAAAGATGAGAAGGGGACATAACTAGAGGATGATAAAGGAATGTAAAAGAAGGCCATAGGAATGAAAGCAGGAAGAAGAGACAATGTTTGCTGCAGTGCGTATAGTGTCAGGCCCGAATGTAGAAATTAAACCTCTTCATGATATCCACATCATCTCTTAGCCCCTAGCCCTATTCCTTCTACCACAAACGCCGCGAGGGAACTCCTGGGACTGTAATGCGAAGGACAGCTCAAATTCTGAACCTAGCCTGAGAAGGCGGAATTCTACCGTCCCTAGTTATATTCTCTCGAATCAATGCAGATAGTTCCTTAGTCCCGTATCACCCTGTGTGTGGGGTGGGGAGGAGCCGCTGGGGCGGCGCGGAGCAGGGCGGGGCGGCCACCTTTACGAACGCCCGTGTTGCGGCAGAGCGCTCGGAGCGGCGGGCGCTGCAGCCGCCTCGCCGGCCAGTGCTGCCGCCTTTGCCGCCGCGCTATCGAACTGGACGCGTCGCACTGCGCCACTGCCGGTGAAGCCGCCGCCTGCGCCGTCGCCTCCACCATCGCCGCCGCAGCCGCCGCTCGCTGGCCCATAGGGCGCGGCTGAGGCGGCTGCGGGCGGCGGTGGAGCGATGCCCGGCTGCTGGTACGACCCGTGTCAAATCCGTCACTCGTAATCCCAGCTCCATATTGTCCTCCAGCCCCCTGAACCCCCTAGTCCTTCTAGCCTCCCACTCCCTAGCTAATCATATCACTAGATGTTTAGCTCCCCAGGCCCCCGGCCCCTCTGCCTTTGGTACTGTCTTTGGATGAAGTTAGAATAATCAGTTTCAGAAATAACAAATGAATTGGAGAATTTAAGGAATATCTTGTTTACGCGAAAAGTGACACGAGTGTATTGAATAACATGCTAAGATTTAAATATTACCCGATATATAAACATTAGCAAAAAGTTCGTGAATTACTAATGTCAATTCTTCTTCGAATATGCTTAAATTATTTGTAGGTACGTTGCCTGTACGTAGATTTCTCTCTGCGCCGTTTCATTGTTCATCCTATTGTGGATAATAATAATCTGATACATCTAGCTCTCCAGATGAATTGCAAAGTCTTAAAAATAATTTAAACACATTAAAATGTGATTTTATGCAAAGGCAAAACGTTTTTCCAGCATATGCAATAATAATAACAACAACAATAATAATAATAATAACAACAACAACAGATGGCGTAGATCGCTAAGGCAGTAGTGCCGTAGCGGTCTCGGACCAGAAGATCGCGGGTTAAAGTCCTGCCTCGGGCATGGGTGTATTTGTGTTTGTCGGCATGTGTGTGTCATCCTCTTATCCCTCACTATCATCATCATCATCATCATCATCATCATTATTTCATCTTCCTGGGCTAACAACTCTGGGGGATAAAAATCCGATTCAGCTAAATGCTGATCCCCTGATAAAAATTACATGCACGTGCCACCGAGAAAGTGTTTCTGAGCCCCGGTAAATTGCAAGGTGCACGCACGCGTGGTCCAAGACGGCCTATTCGCGAGCAAAAAGTAAAAGAAAAATACAAATAGCACTTATTATGCGTGTTACACGAGCTTTGAAACAATTGTTTCACTTCATATTTATTTGAGTTACTCTCATGCATTTTTAGAAAGAGATTCAACGACTGCCGAATACTTTTACTTACTTTAAGCGAGAGAGACAGGGAATTGTCAGTCAATAAATGTAGCACAGCCAATCGTTATCACATGGAAATTATTTTATTAGGCAACCCGCTTGACATTTATGCGTTACGTTTCGTGTTGCAGCCACCCCTCCAGCAGCCATGCCTCATTAATATTACAGACCTAGGAGAAAAAGAAGGAAGATAAGGGGAAGGAGATAAAATAAAAGGAAAGTAAGAAGCGGTGGAGAATAAAAGAAAGATAAATGGATGAAAAAAGAGCTTTCAACTTAGCCCAATATTTTGTGATCTGTATTCGCTTAACGAATCATATACTTTGCATATTCGTATTTCTTGTTTATGAAGCCCCGGCACACCGGGGCCCAACAACTTGTCCCATAATATTAAATTAACATTAAGATAAATGTATTCCGTGTGGAACTGAATAATTTGCTCTGTAGCAATGTTAAATTAAATGTGATATAATGAAATACAGATTTGATAAAGTTTGGGATTTTTTATTAGGTTCGATTCATTAGTTACTGTAAGGAGTGGAATGTAGATCGAAAATTCCCTTGTTCAACATAACGCGATTTCTTAGAAATCGGATCCATTCTGAACGTACATTTACCGATAGAGCGAGCCCGGGGAGGGGCGCCCGGCAGGGAGGGCGGGTGGATAGACAGATTGAAAATGTAAATAAAATTACTTTCATGTTCTGCTATAGATGAACATTCATTCCTTTTCCTGTTTAATCTATGATTTGATAGGATTATATATATATTTGTGTGTGTTGGTATATGTAAGAGCGGTTAACATCTTACGTATGACCGACCTTCATGAAAATAGGCACACCTTGAAGTTTTTTTTCACCTAGAAGGTTTAAGTGCTGTTAAGTTTGTTGTAACTCTACTAGATGGCTCTGTAGAACAAAACTAAATATTAATGTCAATTGCAACCCGCAACACTCTGCAGGAATTTTCAATATATGTGGTTAAATAACTACTAAACGAAGCGTTCTAGGGCATTAAAAATAAATTAAGGCCTCAAAGAAAAGTTTCTCACACCGTAATCCATAGGATGAGATCTTGAACATTCTATTACATTTTTGGTGGTCCGGCGCTTTTCAATATTACCCAACCTCCTAAGAGACGTGCAGAATCTGCAACTAAATGTGAGTGAGTGAGTGAGAGAGAGAGAGCGTGGGGAGAGAGAGAAGGTGGAGAGTGAGAAGGCGGAGAGAGAGTGAGGAGGAGGAGAGAGAGAGAGGGAGAGAGAGAGAGGGAGAGAGGGAGAGAGAGAGAGAGAGNNNNGAGAGAGAGAGAGAGAGAGAGAGAGAGAGAGAGAGAGAGTATGTGTGTGTGTATGTGTGTTGGGGCCTGCGGCAAGTTGTTACAGCTGCCTTCTTCCGAACACGCCCGCCTCTGTCGTGCCGGAGGCGCCATCGCTCGTTAGTCGCCGCGCAGTGCGCTGTACTCACTCGGCCACGAGCAGGATGATGGCTTGCTGCTCCGCGGACGCCTTCCGCTCGCGCTCCAGCCAGCGCCGGTAGTTCTCGTCGGAGGGGTTCTTCACCAAGTCCTTGAGGATGTCCCCGGTGACGAAGCGCACGCCCTTCACCTGCCGGGCACACACGGTACGCGCAACGCTTAAGTATGTTTCTGTGTTAGCGTTACGGGAAGAGACGGAAATGGGGCTGGGTTGGGGTGATGGTCTTGTAAATAGTAGTTTTAAGCCTAATGTTAAGTTTTTACAAGTCAAATTTTCATTGTATGTTTATGAATCCTAAGGGCTATATCTCAGTATTAACAATTATAATTGTCTTTTGTAAATTTTCTGCTCGCAAGAGTTTTTGTACAACAGCAGATTTTCAGAAGCGAATTCGTTAAGTAGTACATCAGACTGGCGTAGGAACGTGCGCTCGGGCACCTGTCTTCCTTCTGCTAGGCCGCCGCCTTTGGCCATGCACATTTTGACTTTCACAATAAACACATATACTGGTGTTGGGGGCGAAAGCGGGACCGATGTATTGTACCGCGTGGCGTGCCGTGACATCGGGACGAAAGGGCGAGGCGACAGCGGTTGCGGCTGTTTGTTTATTCATTAACGTCAAAGAGCAGTAAAAGCTGCAAGCGAGGCTGGCGGGTGGAGTAGCGTTGGGTTATTGTCCACACGCAAACTAGGGCCATCTCAGCATACAACAGACTTGGTCGACAGTATGATGTAAGTTGCATAGAAAATCTGGACATGGATTTAGGCACTTGTTGGGAGCATTGACATGGCAGGTTATGTGATATTATATGTTAATATTTATGTTATACGTTTATAGTTTTTCGTAAGTTACCATCTCAAAAAACATAGTGGTACACAGAAATGAGTTCTGTAATAAATGGTGTATTCAAATGTTTCGCACATTTTGAGTAAACAAATCTGAAAGAAAAATAAGAAATCAGACAAAATTTCTTACCCCTTTTTTAATAGCTGTCAATATCAAATATTTTAGATAAGATTTTATGATTTTCAGTAGTATATTAAATTTTATTTCATAATTTGCATTGTTTTCATTTCATTTAAAGAATATTTAGTAAACTATAGAAGTTTCTTAGTTACTTCAGTTGTAAATTATTGACACGTTAGAAAAATAGGTGAATTGGAAGTTATTTCAATTTATTTTCCAATTTTCCAAATGTTCACTCTGCCGAAACCCACAAAAACAAATTTACATAAAGTTACATATATGTGGCTTTTATACAGAAAACAGGTATTTCATAGTCCTGCGGATGGAATTACACAGTATCCCGAAACTGATTGATCAAAAAAGGCGGCAAAAAGCAAAATTTTTTCTATTACGTCAACATGATCATCCAAGTTCCTGTGGTTTGACCCAGGAACTCCTTTGTGACAATGAGGATTTTAGCGGTTAGCCGCAACATTTGGGTCGACGAGTGCAGTCGACGGGTGTATGTGCCCTGCGCGCGAGCCGGCTTACCTGGATGGCTGCTGCGCGCCCCGCGCGGTCGGCGTCGTCGCCGGCGGTGGGGTCGGCGTCGGCGTCGGGCGCCGAGCTCTCGCCCTGCTGCAGCAGGTCGTAGTCGACAGGTGCCAAGATGACGACGCTCGTCACGTTGCGGCCTCGCAGTTCGGGCACGTCAGGCAGCGGGAACCCCACGCCGCTCACCTGCGCAACCACGAGAGAAATAAAGATGGGCGAAGTGGCTTTCAGAACTCTCGTTCGCGGCTTCAAACCGGGCTGGTGGCGGTGGATTTTCAGGGGGCGGAAAAGCCAATGTGCCATGTCATGTTTGTTGCATGAAAAAAAATCATGGGTAAATGCCCAGCAGAATTCAATCCTCCGACACTTTCCTTCTCATCAGATGCCATATTCGCTTAGCTAGGTAACGACGCAAATAACGGATAGTGATTGTGATCGTTGTTGCAGCGGTTCATGACGGCGAATATGAGAGTAAAACTTCGTTGGTTTGCGATGGGAAACCATATGGTTGACTGATTGATGTTCCCGGGCCCATCAACTGCTATGGGTGTATGTCCCGTACGTCTGTGAATATAACGGCGTGCTCTCCCGCTGGAGCGAGAAATCCGGTACCGACCTTCACGTCATCTTAGGCATCCACTGCAGGGATCTCCCCAGCGAGGAACCGCCCCAGATGAGCCCCGCTCTAAACGTCCAGCTGTTTTTCCAATGTGTGGTAGCGTAGTGTACGTAAATGTGTGGATGTATTTGTCTGTTAAAGGAGAGATGTGGAGAACATGATGAGGTGGGAAAGATCGCGTTCTCGAGACGTTAATTAGGGTATTGCTCCGGCATTCGCATAGTATTGCGTGGGACCTAGAGATTAGAGCATTCGTCCTCCTAATTTCTCCTGCAGGCAGTTGCTGAACTTGACCCAGCTATTCAGCTGGAAACGTGCACCACCATTCGAAATTATGGAATATGAAAAGTAGGCAAATGTTTTTTTATATACTAGTACGCCAGTATGAATAATGTAACCACCGAGGTTGTGTGTTAGAGGGAAATCTAGAAGAAGTTAGCATGAAGATACACAAAGTGAGTGTGCCAAAACATTTCCAAATATATACTTTTTTGAACACTTAATGTGATAATATTAATTTTATTAGATATCGCTGTCAAGATAGTTTTTCCCACGAAATTCTTTAAATTAGGTAGAATATCTATCAGTGACTGACAATATTTCTCATTGCATATCTCCCAATGACTGATAGAATTCTTCTTTATTTAAAAAAAATTAATTATTTTTGAGTTTGAGATCTCAGAACTGTTCAGTTTGGACTTTCAACCTTTGTCTCTCATCAATTTTGTGAGTCGAAGGAAATTGGATATGAAAACACATCGGTCATGATCCCAATTCAGATTGCGGTGAATGAAGTGCCATTGATAGGTGAAAAACTATATGCAGTCGCCCATACTCCAAGAAGAGTGGAAAACGTGATCCTGACCTTTCACTACACACCGGACACAGGATATCTTCAACAGAGCGTTCGTTGTTCTTTCGATAGCAGGCGTTCTTCGGGAAATGACATGCCACCAACCAGAAGTACAGGAGGTGACGCGGTCTTTTTCGGAGCGTGGATGAGTTTGTTCGTGCTTCCGGACCGTTTGTCCTCGTTCTCGTGTTGCGTCAATTCGCTTTATGACTTGCTTCTTTTGGCCTAACGCTAGAGGAACAAAAACGGGAACAAGAATTCGAAAGGAACATGAGGAGAAAATTTTCAAATCGTTTCCCCGAGTGTACGGATCGTGACCGGATTTTCTTATATCCTCACAGGGCTCGTTACAGCCTAATATGTGTCACGCGCACTTCTTGAAAATGATATTGAGTGCTGGAACATTCTCTTCAGTATTGGTAGACAGCGTGGGAAATGGATGAAAACATGTATTGTGACATGGGAAATGTGGGGCCAGAATATGTCAATGTTAAAAAAATGGCAACATCAAATATTTTGCACACCCCATTATGAAATATTATTTCCGGCTGTTTCCAAAAATCGCCATAAGAAAAGTAGAATGTGTGGAAATACACGTAGATCGCTCAATCTCGCACTAATGTATACATGTTTAATACTTGTTTGTATGTATTTGTTTAATGATTGTATGTTAGATAAGAAGAAAAGCTCGAAATACGGTTTTTAAAAGATGATCGCTTTCACGGTTTGATTCTATCGAATTCGAAAGTTGGTGTTTTACAAAGTTTAGCCGAAGTAGTTGCCAAAAAATCGCGTGCTGGCCTAAATTCTGTCAACAAACTCAGTCGTCCATGAGGCTCTGCATATACTACTTAAAAGCAACTCCCTCGCGATGTGAGCAAGTGGCGCTTATCGTGAGGACACGGAACCTTAGTTTTTCCACTAAACGTACTAATTCAAAAAGGAGATAGAAAACGTTTAGCATACTTTGGGTGGAAGTTTAAAAAATGATCCTTTTTTTTTTTTTAGGAATGGAGTAATTTTTATGGAATATATTGAACTGATTGCGATTGAACTGATTGGAAATTTTCAAGCAACGTTTGTAACTAAAGAAGATAGTAGTTACAAAGGATGCTTAGCAGCTTGTTTTTTGAAGGGCAAGTAGGGTATGTAATATTCACTCTTTTACCCGAAACATGTTATTAGTGAAACCAAATCAGTGGCTCACGGCCATTCCTTAGTTCCAAACGCCTTAATGCTATCACATAAGCAACGGTAAGTATCTCTACATACTTTGAGGGGCAGGTAGCGGTTGTAGCCGGCATCATTGAGCACCACCGGGTCCACTTGCGTGGCGTCAGCTCGTACGTACTGCTCCGCCAGCTGCTGTCCGGCCGCCGATGCTGAGTCATAGCGCACCACCTGTAGAGCACATGTGCGTTCTATTAGAGATGCTTTGTGGACCAATCCAAAGGTCGGCATGGCAAACATGATGGGTTGAAGAAAGCCATAGGCAGTTGTGAGAAATGTTTTTCTCTTTTCTGGCGAGCAGACGGGTAATAAGAGTCACAAACGTTCGGAAAATATTTCAAGTGTAAATCTTACGGTATAATTTATTATTTAATATTAATAGCGAACTACTTACTGTATATTTGCAATTAAATGTTGTGGTATAGATTGTCACGGTATGTAACTATGTTCTTTTTATGATTAATAGATCCATGTATTGTTTGACAATCACCTTCTTTTTTAAAGGCAATATATTTTAAAATTTTAAAATAGTGTTTTAAGATGTCATTTTAAAAATTTAGACAATAAAAGAATAAGGGGATTGTCAAACAATACATGGACCTATTAATGATGAAAAGAACATTGTTACTTACTGTATAATTTATCATTTAACTCCTATGTATATATTACTTTAGTATATCTGTACAATGTTGTTTCATTTTAGAAAAGTCCTCTCTAACATCATTATTAATAATTTTTTTTGTATTCCATATATATTTGGTTCGAACTCGTGAGAACATGCTAAATGAAATAATCCATGAAACAATTTACCTACAACTGAATACATCCGAAAACAAAACTGTGCTGCTTACAACAAATATTTCACTGCAAGATTAACTGTGTTTTCACTGGCCTTTGGCCACGGGCCTTTGACAGGCAAAACGTACAAAAATATCCTTTAAATGCTTCAAAACATCACCAGCTTAACAACATCCAAAATACGAATTTCGAGTTACGACTGTTATTTTATAACATTTTATTCAGTTATTATTAACAGAATTTAAATGTTGTCTTTAAGTAATTTCCATTCCGTAATTCATCAATTGCAGGCTTGAAATTAAACAGGATGTAAGTGCCATTTTTCATACTTTCGAGAAAAATGTTATATACATATATANNNNTATATATATATATATATATATATATATATATATGTTAAACCTATTGGCACATACAACTCCTGTCATTTATAATCTTCCCGTAACACTATCAAGAAATGCATCTGGACTTTGGTTCTTATTTATGTTATGGGGTTTGAATCAATTATCATTATTCTGGTAAAATCATAAATGTAACAGAAATGACACTTACATTCTTTTTTATTTCAAGTCTTCAATTATCAAAACCCGCGAAACCAATAAACACATTTATCTTTCAACTTCATTTTCCGCGTCGTGCCAGTGTTGCAAGCCGCGCGCTGCAGTACCTTCATCTCGACGGGCGCGGCGGCGGAGGGCGCCGGGGAGACCGCCGACGTCTTGGTCTTGGGCGGCGCGGTGGCGTTCGGGGACACAACTGCGGGCACGGGGGCGCTCCCAGCCCCGTAGAAGTTCTCCAGCGCCTCGGGCGGCAGGCTCTCGATGGGGATGTCGCCCACCTTGTCGTAGTCCAGCACCTGCAGCGGCCGCGCGCATTGGCACGATTAGGGTAACTCGCTTCAACGAGCGAATGTTGAAGTTATTAACGTCATGAGGCCGATGTAGAGCAAATAAGGGACGTTGTTGAAGTTTGTAAACTGAGGCGATAGCTAAGGTTTATAACAAACCAAGTCTGTTATTTGTGATATCGGCCGTGTGTCATTTAATACTTTTCATAATACCCACCTTCTTATAAGAAATAATAACATACAAATGAGAAATTTCTTTTTGTGGGAATAGGTATGTATTCATATGCTATCTTTAGCTACAATTCTTTGACAGTTAAGAGTGGCCTTTCGTTCCTCTGTTGTATTGTGAAACATGGGCATAATCACTCTGTAATCACTTGAGTTATTTATGTTTCAAGGTCCAACATTTAGAAAAGCTTGTGATCCCACTTGTCATTTGCCAAAAACGAAAATTAAACTAAGAAAAACAATTCTTTAAAAAAAAAGTATTTTAAGTGAAATTTGTATGAAATATCGAGGATGTTGTCCCCCAAATATGTCATTATACACAGGACATCATGGCCCGAACTTAGATAACTCGATTTCTTTGATATATCGAATTTTCTTCGTACCTTCATCTTTATCTTCGTATTTCATTTGAAATTTCATAAAACTCACCTCATGTCGATTTTAACTTTTGATTGTCTCATTTCTTTTTGGGATCCTAAAAATGTACGTTCTACTGAACGTTGTTGAATCGGTTTGTCATTTCAAAATTCAGATGTCTCAGAATAAATGTTACAAACTTCTAGGAAAGGAAGAGAAATCGTAGATGATTACTTTCAAGTTCTGATACAGCCAAACAATCTTTGACAGCTTAACAATCAGTGACAAATATCACGTGTTTAACATAGTTATATGAAATTTTGCACATGAACATCGACAAAGGGTGATCATTTTGGGACCCTCATTGTATGCCATAGAAATTAGTAGCATATACTCTGATACTCTGTATGCATGTAGGACTAGATATTGCTTTTTTTATTATTTTTCATAGTCGACATATTTTTTCATAAATATTTCGTTGACACTCTTTCCAAAATCCTTTACCTGGACAACATTACGTAAAAGTACCTACCTGAATGTCAGCGTTGCTGAGAATGCCTGACGACAGCAGCTGCTGGCGCAGATCCTCAGGGACCTCGTCGGGCAGCGCGGGCAGCGGCTTGTCCTTTTTGTCTTTATCGCCGACGGCAGGAGTGGTGGGCGTGGCGGTGGTGGTGCTGGGAGTGGCAGTGCTCGATGGCACCAGTGAGAACACCTTGGGCGGTTTGGAAGTGGGCGGCGCGGCCGGCAGCAGCGAAGGACGGTGGATGCTCTGCGGGCCGGCGAAAGGCCGCGACGGCGGCGTCTGGCTCACGCTGGGCAACTGCTGGTGCTGCAGGAGCTGCTGTTGATGCTGTTGCTGGAATTGATGTTGTTGTTGAAAGTGTTGATGCTGTTGAAGCTGTGGCTGACTGATAGACTGTTGAACCGTAAACGTTGTCGGCTTCCGGGCCTCGGACTGTGTATTCGATGAGAAAGAAGGCGCGGACTGACCAAGACCGTGGCCGATACTTGGTGACGTGGACGGTGAGGGTTGGCCTAGACTATGGCCAAGACTCGAAGACGTGGCGGGAGCAGGTTGTCCCAGTCCGTGAGCATGGCTGGCGGACGTTGCAGGTCCTAAGAACTGTTGAACGGGTCGCGGCTTGCTAACTTCGTGAGTCGTCAGATGCTCCTCCAGACTTGGAACTGATTTCACAATCTCGCCGTTGAAGCCCAACTGTTGAGCGGTTTGATGTTGCGACTGAGGTTGCAAAGGCGACTGCGGCTGAGATTGAGATTGAGGTGGCGGCAGCCTCTGCGGCTGTTGCAGCCTCTGCTGTTGCAGATGCTGTTGCTGTAGTTGCTGTTGGTGGGCAAGTTGCTGTTGATGTCTCTGCTGCTGCAATTGTTGCAAAATGTGCGACTGTGGGGGAGGAGGCTGATGTTGCTGCTGTTGTTGCTGCTGGAAGAGTTCAGCCTGCTGCTGTTGGATTACTTTGCGCTGCTGTTCGATGTACTGTTGGTTCTGTGGATTGCGGCCATGAGGTGGCGGGGGAGGGTGCGGGAAGGCGGCAGTGGGGCCTGGTCTGAAAGCGGGAGGCTGCTGTGGTGGATGGACGGGCCTTTGGAACTGCGATTGATGACCAAACTGAGGTTGCGGACGCAGTTTGGGGGGCTGCGGAGGTCCGTGGAA